CAAACAAACTCGACATTTGCGCATTCGCAGCATCTGGAAGTCGAAGCTCATTCACCGCAAACCTAGACGCCCGAACTCGTATGCAAAGGAGGAAGAGTGGAAAGTTTAGCAGTCAAGTAAAAAAGCCAACAAAGCTCAGCGGGATACGTTCAACACTCCACACATGTCTCTGGCAATCGGGAAATCGACAGCAAAGTAAAATGTTCCTTTGAATGAAGAAAACTCTGGACCAAACTTTTTCTGAAAACAAACTGGTCACTCCTTCCCGAGGATACTGGTCCTTGCCATACGCGAGGTGAATGGGTCCACTACTGCAGTAGCGTGCTACTTGCTCCTATCAGAGGCGCACTGAAACGAGCTGAACGGTAGCAGTACCCGAGTAGAGTCTCCCGACTTCGCCTCTGCTGCCGCACGACCGGTCACACTCCTAAGCATAGCCAAACGTGCTTCTTGTCTTCACCATCTCCAGTCTGGGGGTTCCTGACCCCTAACGGGTGTTCGCGCATTATCTGTATGGAGCCTTGAGGATATCGCGGACGGAACACCATCCTTTCTAGCTCGTTTCGGCGCTCTCTGAAGTGATGAACGTTTTTCACATGTGAGCCATTTCACATAACTAGGACCGTCCTCGGAGGTGAGTGAACAGTTCGTCTCGAATCAGATGTGGAACAGATGATGAACATACCTTAACAGTCGTCCAATCGCTACCATTTTCGCTCAAAGCGTACGCGAGGAGCGAACCATCGTTTGTCCATTCCAAGTCACTAAATGATCAATAAAAACTGGGAATTTTTGCGATAAGGGTACAACATCGGGATCTGTGGAATGGGAAAGTGCGTACAACTTTTCAAGGGGAGGATCTCGGTACGTCCCTTCGCACGATCTACCATCAGCCTCAACATATTCGCTTCCTATCCTAGCTTCCCCAGAGTTTGTTCTGACTTCTGCAATGCAACCATTGTATGTATGTACCGTTCATATTTCCAGTTGCAGTTGGTGCATAGTTATTGGGTTAGCCGTAAGTGATGGCGTTTTCTTCTAACTTGAAGTTTCGCGTTGAAAACAAGTAGTTTCACCACTGTAAAAATGTGGTTTTACCACTATATTCTAAACAC